GTGTGGTTTTTGGTGTTTGCTTATGAATAGTCGATAAGTAGAATCATGCTAAATTAAAAAAACAAAAATTGAATTTTAATTTATCACTTTTTTTTTTAGATGTTACGGGGCGTCGAAACCAGACGGAAACGAATGGGAAAATGTAGAAACTTTGTAGATTAGATAAATATAGGAAAATCATTTTTAATTATGTTTTAAAAAAAAAACAAAGGAAAGGCGGTGTTATGAAGCACCCCAAAAATGCCCCAAAACAAAACTGTAGAGCCAAGGGACCCAAAAACTTTGTGTATTTTTTTGTATAATTCAGTTTAAATATTAAATTCTGTATAAGACGACATCAAACTCGCCATAGTCATAAACTCGAAATGTACATATATAAAATAGTACATGTATTCAAGATATTGCTTTTTCTATGGAACGTCGGTGGTTCTACTCAGTTGCCCATTCGTGCCTAAAACAATGCACACAAAAAACAATAATACTAATTAATAATAAAACAACAACAACGAAGTTTTCCTTTAACCGTAATTTTGTTGACAAGGCAATTTTATTTTGTATTCGTCAGAAAACGCTCTCAAATATCAAATAAGTTGACATAAAGTATTAACGGAGGTATATATATATATATTAACTATATTTTATAACCATAGCTTTCATTTATTGAGGCTATATTTTACCATGTCGATTTTTTCGCAACGAACAGTCGAAAACACGAAGTGACTTTGTGGTCCATTCGCATTTTCGCGCCAAAATGTAAATATGCGAACGCACGAAGACAGTTTTCAAATTTTCTAAATACGCTTGAGTAAATCAGCCGACATTTTTATTTCAGTTAATGATATGTTAGTAGGACGTTCTTATTTTCAATGTTCCGCATAAATAATCGTATTTTATATTTTTTGAAAATAAAGCAATCTAAAACTTCCTTGTCTAATGTCATTAATTTACACGAAACGGATAACTTTATGTGATCACGAAGAAGGACAACTTTGTAAACATTGAATGAAAACATTGTTGAAAATCAAATTTGGCAACAACAATCTAAATTATCATACTCGATCTCACCTAATAATTAAAATTTTACAACAACAACAACAGCATGCACATGAACATGGACACCAGCAACAACAATAACATCATCATCATCATCAACAACAACAACAACAACAACAACATCAACAATAACAACAACGCCAGCATCTCTACAACTATTGCCAAAAGTACACATATACCCAAAAGTTAAAAATGCACTGCTTCTTTATGCAACCTTTTACTACTATAACAGCTTGGAAAGATAAAAGCATTTGAATATGAAAATGCACTAATGAACACCATTTCTTCGGAGAATGACCTTTTACCGCGACCTGTATGTTGGTTTTGCGGGTCGAGTACAACATAGAGCATGCATCTGTAAAGTTTGAATAGTGTATGAATAGAAGAGCCCTTATTCTAATGCCACGACGATAAAGTTGACGAATCAAAACATCATACCCTCCCCGCCTATCAATACGGGGGCATGGAAACGGTGTAAATTTTCTTGCAAAACTATCGAATAGTAAGAAATGGATTTAAAAACCTTTTCCAATAATGTTTTATATATATTTTGAAAATAAAGCAATCTAAAACTTCCTTGTCTAATGTCATTAATTTACACGAAACGGATAACCTTATGTGATCACGAAGAAGGACAACTTTGTAAACATTGAATAAAAACATTGTTGAAAATCAAATTTGGCAATAACAATCTAAATTATCATACTCGATCTCATCTAATAATTAAAATTTTACAACAACAACAGCAGCAGCATGCACATGAACATGGACACCAGCAACAACAATAACATCATCATCATTATCATCAACAAAAAACAACAACAACAACAATAACAACAACGCCAGCATCTCTACCACTACCGCCAAAAGTACACATATACCCAAACGTTAAAAATGCATTGCTTCTTTATGCAACCTTTTACTACTATAACAGCTTGAAAAGATTGAAATATTTGAATTTGAAAATACACTAATGAACACCATTTCTTCGGAGAGTGACCTTTTACCGCGACCTGTATGTTGGTTTTGCGGGTCGAGTGCAACATAGAGCATGCATCTGTAAAGTTTGAATAGGGTATGAATTGAAGAGCCTTTATTCTAATGCCACGACGATAAAGTTGACGAATCAAAACATCATACCCTCCCTGTCTATCAATACGGGGGCATGAAAACGGAATAAATTTTCTTGCAAAACTATCGAATAGTAAGAAATGGATTTAAAAACCTATTCCAATAATGTACTTATCAGATGTGATTGTCAATTCCAAAGACATAAAAGTACCAAGTGCATTGTTAACACTAAAAATATGGGTAACTATAAAAAAGAATGAAGTGTAGAAAGGAAACGGAATAAAGATTGAAAATTTTTGAAAAGGGCATGTTTAACAAGGATTTGTGCCAGCAGAGTTTCTAGACGGTTGTTTCACATCAAACATAATTATGAGTAAATTCATTCAAAAGAATATTCCTCTTCTGTTAAACTAGAGAAACACAATTGATTGTTGAACTTGTAGTTTTTGATCGTTCAGCACGACATTATTGCTTGTGGTAATTTAGTTCTTTCTATTCGGCTTTTTTTCTTGTTGGGTGGTTCCAGTATTCCTTACTTGAATACTGTTGAATCACCCTTAGGATATGTGGCCTGCTCTTTAAATTTGTCTTTTGACGTCTTATCTGTGATATGCAGGCTTCATAACCTCTGACCCCTCTTTCAAAATTCCATTTCATTTAGATTCGTCCATTGTTTTCTCGTTTAGGGCAAGCGCATTTTTTTTTACCTGGGGACCATATGCCGCTTTTCATGGAATAGCACTTAGTATCACATTGAAGGTTCCATGATAACCGCAATATGAACACATCTGCAGATGTCTCAAAATTTAAAATTGTACCAGTCCATGTTAAATGTTGAATTCTGCTAAAGCCGGTGCTAGGGGTTGTGGACGGTAGTTTGCACTTGACAGTACCGTCCATGAACAAGCTCAATCAAACCGAGCCTGCAACATTTTCAGTTCTGTCGTGTTGGGTTTTCTTAAAGGATTCTTCTTATCTCTATTTACTTTTAATATGTCATTTGTTTCTTGCATTTTTAATGTCACAAGAACTACAAATAAACCTACAGTTAATGGCAAAACATTTACATTGTATCTTTTTACAACTTGGATGGACTATAACATAGGATTACTTCAAGGTAGGTAGTTGGTAGTTATTCGTAATTCCAAAACATTTAACAGATAGTTGTTGCTAATTAGACCCCTACCGATTTAATCGGAGGGGACTTTAGGTTTATCCTCCGTCTGTCTGTCAGTCCGTCCACAAAACTGGATCCCGCGATAACTTAAAAAGTACTGAAAATATATTTTATGAAACTTGATATATAGATAGATGGCAGTATGGAGATTATGCACGTCTTTTTCTATTCTTCCTATGTTGAAAACTCTGGTTGATATGTTTACCCTCCGTCTGTCTGTCCGTCCGTCCACAAAACTGGATCCCGCGATAACTTAAAAAGTACTGAAAATATATTTTATGAAACTTGATATATAGATAGATGGCAGTATGGAGATTATGCACGTCTTTTTCTATTCTTCCTATGTTGAAAACTCTGGTTGATATGGCAAAAAATACACTGAAAATATGGCAAATTTAACACATAAACTGGATCCAGTGATAACGTAAAAAGAACTGAAAATATTCTTATGAAACTTAAAATATGGGTAGATGGCAGTCTGGAGATTATGCACATTTTTTTCTTTACTTCCTGTGTTGAAAATTCTGGCTGCTAAAAATGGCAACAAATGGACTGAATTTCAAAATTTCTGATTCGAGATTTTACACTTTTCACTATAACTTCTTTATTTCTTAAGATATTTACTTCTGAAGGTATTTTCTGGTCATGAACCACATCATATGTGACAATAAAAACTCTAGCACTAAAATTATAAGAATTGCCTCCCTTGAACTTAGAATTTTTATGAAAAAAATGTTTTTTTTTTAACTTCTTTATTTCTTCTTTAAACTTCATATGTATGTTTCTTATTATCACTCAACATATGTGAGAAGGTTCAATACTCTAGCAAGACTTTTTTTCAGAATTATACCCCCCTTGAACTTTTTCATTATAAGGTTGTGTTGTCGCTATCGATAACGCAACGCGGAAGTGTACCAAATCAGCCACCATACAAAACATCGTGAGATATATGATATCATGTTATTTAGATCAAATATTTGATCCGAACTTTTTCTTTATAATTCAATATTACGCGTTAAAGCATAGCGTCATTTGAATACATATATTCGTATGCGGTAAACTGTTACCGAAGCAAAATTATGCCACTGGCACCACCGTCTTTACATTACCGTAAAATGAACAGAATAAAACCCAGTGTAACAAAAAAATACCTGTAACATTGATATAACAAATATTTCAGACCCCATACAGCCTCTCAGACGCCAAAACAACCCCTCTGATCCCCATCAAACCCCTCTGACTCCCCTAAACCCCCTCTGACCCCATACATCCCCCAAAGCCCCTGACCCCCCCCCCCCCCCCCCCCACATCCCCCATACAACCTAACACGTACCAACAAGTTTCAAAAAGTAAGATATCATTAATATTACAGGTATTAAGTTTAGATATAGGAGTATTATGTACATTTTATAAATTTAAGAACATAACCTCATAAATAAAGGCTTCATGTTGAAATTCTGTACGAAGAAAATCTGTCCTGAAGGAGGACCTCAGAAGCTTTTACGTGCATTCATTTCAGGCACTTGCGGGAACTTGAGTAGAACAAACGGCGTTCCTTAAGCTGATACATCGCTGACGTTCAGGTTAACTATGTATGTACCTTTGTAGATCACAGTACATATATAAACATGCAATGTAATATTCAGAAAATGCTTTTTTTTTCAAATAAAAATTTATTTGAAATTTGAAATTCACTTACCATGTTTGTAAATCATTCCTACAGGTACACTATTTTTCAAAGGGAATACCCCTTTTAATTCTCATTTTTTTATATTAAATTCCACTACGTCACAGATCAGTTGCTCCAGGTAGTACAAAATATATTATTTTTTCACCATTCACGTATTACAGACCTCTCCACAGTGATCAGACTGATTGCCAATCTCCACGCAGTGATCTCCCCTTAATTCTTCGGCGTTACAATTCTGCCAAGGGAGGTAATTACTGTGAGGAGTTTGACTGATTGCTGGCGGCATCCATTTTTGCGTATCTGATTGTAGTGAATGGATCTTTTAAAGCGTAAAATCATTAGGAGCAGTCTACAAATATTGTAATGCACCTGCTCAGTTTCAAAATACGACTTAACTTAAACGAAAAATTAACATCAGTGTGAACAAATCGGTACAAAGAAAAATCGGAAAATATCTTTTACTTTACTTAGTGTAACGTGGATGTTCATTCCTATTTATAGTATTTAATTTTTTAAACTGTATAAATCGGTTACCGTATTGTTTTCTGAATAGCGTTTTAATATTTCATGTTTCGATAAATAGTAACAGTGAACATTATAGCTACAATATCACCATGCACTATTATATGACCGATTGAACCGTGAACCGAAACTTTGCTGCTCCTTAAACTTTTGAACAGGTTTTACTAACTAACGCAACGGAGATTATTTGGCGCAGATGGTACAAATTTTACTCAAGTTTGATTTTGTTCAAATATTGTGGTTGGAAGCATGCATGTAGCAACGCTATATGTCGCAACGCCGCTATATGTCGCAATTTACGCTAAATGTCCAAACGCTAACGCTATATTTCGCAATCAACGCTATATGTCGCAATCGCCAACCGCTAAATGTCGCAACGTTGCCGCTATATGTCGCACAAAAATCGATTGCCGCTAAATGTCGCAACCCCTTGACGCTAAATGTCGCACTTGGTAGGAAAGTAACAGATGGAACTGAAACAAAAAGTCAGTGTTAAAACATTTAAAGTTTATACCATTTACACATGAAAACATATCCTAGTAACCAAACAAAAGTTGTATTTCGCGGTCTATGGCAAAAACCTTATATGGCCATAGAAACTGTTTTTGATAAAAGGGATGGATTTGGTTCTCAACCACGGACCAGGTGTGAGATCAAACTTTCTCTTTGAGGATGTCTTTCTCACAAAATGCATCAACAAAAACATTTGGATATACATGTATATTTGTTAATATATTATTTGACATAACTTTTTATATTTATCTCAATATTTCTTTGGGAACATTAATGAATCAATATACTATGGAATTGCCAAATGTTGACTGCCTACTGCTTACTGTCAACTGCTTACTGTCAACTGCTTACGGCTTACTACTTATTATTCACTGCTTATAGCATTAAAATAAAAATGGACGACCTATTACAACTGTATTGGTCAAAAAATTATTCAGTTTTGCCGAAATAGTTGCCGTTCTGGAGGTCATGCACAATATAGTGCAGTGGTATATAGGCCACTTCCAATTATAGCCGTGCTGTTGGGTAAACCCTTTAGCGATGTGGTTGAGGTGTCCGCCTACGGACCAAGAGGTCTGTTGTTCAAAACCCGGTTGGACCCTTGGTAATTTTCTGCCTCCTAATTTACTTAAATGGTGTCAGAAGTGTTTGACGGACTCATGCGGTAAGCAGGCAGTGACATTCAGGAGAGCTGGCTAGCTCTGAAAAGTAAAGAGGGGAGGAGTGTAGTGGTTGTAGGTATATGGGCCACTTCCATCAGCCTTCCTGTTAGATTAACCCTTTAACGACGTGGTTGAGATGTCCGTCTACGGACCAAGAGGTCTGTGTTTCAAAACCCGGTTGGACCCTTGGTATTTTTCTGCCTCCTAATTTACTTTAATAGTTTACAGGTACAAATATATTCTTAGAACAAAATTTAAAGGAGTTCACTGATAAATTAATAAATGCATGGACTATAACATGGAATTCCATAAACGAGAGCCAACTGTTGACTGCTTACTGTCTACTTCTGACTAACTACTGCCTACTGTTAACTGCCTACTGCTTACTGTCATTTGCTTACTGTCAATTGCATACTGTCAACTGCTTACTCCCCCACTAGAAAACAACAACAACAACAACAATTAGATAAATAAATAAATACAAAAATGAATAAAAATAAATAAATAGAGGTATCAATGTAACAATGAAAACGAGGCTACAGTAAAGAAACGTCACAAACGTAACCATGTAACAATGAAAACGAGGCTACAGTAAAGAAACGTCACAAACGTAACCATGTAACAATGAAAACGAGGCTACAGGAAAGAAATGTCATAAAACGTAACCATGTAACAATGGAAGCGAGGCTACAGTAACAAACGTCACAAACGTAACCATGTAACAATGAAAAAATAGCTACAGTAAGGAAACGTCACAAACGTATCCGCGTTACAGTGAAAACGAAGCAACAGTAAGGAAACGTCACAAACGTATCCGCGTTACAGTGAAAACGAGGCTACAGTAAGGAAACGTCACAAACGTATCCGCGTTACAGTGAAAACAAGGCAACAGTAAGGAAACGTCACAAACATATCCGCGTTACAGTGTAAACAAGGCAACAGTAAGGAAACGTTACAAACGTATTCGCGATACAGTTCAACGCAGGAAAAGAGACTATAGTAACCCTATTATAATGAAAACGAGGCTACAATAAGGAAATGTGACACTGAAAACCAGGCTGCAATAAGGAAAACTTTACAAAAATATTTCATGTAATGGTAAAACAAGGCAAATGTAAAATTATAAAAATGAAAATGATACTTCATTATGAAAACGCCACAAACTAAACCATGTTAAAGTAAAAATGAAGCTACAATATCAAACCATTACAAAAGTATCATGTAACGGAGAAAAAACGAGGCTTAAACAAAGCGCAGTGTAATATGAGAAATCAGACACAGTACTTCGGATATCAAAATATTGTTGTATCACCTGTCGTATAACGGAGAGAGAACACATTGATGTTTCACATTTTATTACTCAATACATAAGTATGGGGGCAATACACAGTTTTCAAGGCTTCTCGGCAAACAACTGACTGCGCCACAATCAAAACCTCACACACAAGTCTGTTATCACACACCTGAAATAAATGTATTTCATATTTAACATATACATATGTATCTCACAGCAAACAATTAAAAATACATGTCCACCTTCTAGTTTTCTGGCACATAGCCCTGTGTTTTTCATTGTTTTGGTCGCGAAAATCAACGAAAAAATAAGCGGATTACCCCTATTCGCAAAATACAACAATATATTAACGTCAAATGATTAAATCACAAGCTATAGTGTTTCTTCCTTCTTAACCAATGCACAATCTGAAAATAACATCCAAACGGGGTGCCATCCACCTACTTTTTTCACTATTTTAAGTCTTCTGCATACCCTGTAAATTGAAGAGCTGATTCACCGGCTAGCTCACAAAACCACACATTCGCATCCGGCAGGTACTCTCTTCAAATGCAAGGGTCAACGCCACTAAATTCAATTTTACTAAATAACTGAAACACAATACTAGTCACTGAAACTTGAAATATAGTAACTATAAATATTTAGAACCTCAAATATCAACTTCAATTTCAAAACTGCCTCTTATTTGTAAATTTGACCCTGGCCAATTCGCAACTAAACGGCCGTTACTGTGTACTGCCTCCTATATATCTGCACTGGACAAATACCAAATTCGAATTACCTAGACTGGGCTATTCGACCACTATTTATAATGACAGCTATTAACATAAAATGTTAAGATATAGTTCCCCCTTAGCATTAACAAGCGGTTTGCTCAGTTATGTCAAACAATATAACAAGTATACAATCCATGTATATCCAAATGTTTTTGTTGATGCGTTTTGTGAGAAAGATATCCTCAAAGAGAAAGTTTGATCTCACACACTGATTGATCTCAGGTCCGTGGTTGAGAACCAAATCCATCCCTTTAATCAAAAACTGTTTCTCTGGCCATACAATGTTTTTGCCATAGACTGCTAAATACAACTTTTGTTTGGTTACAAGGATATGTTTTCATGTGTAAATGGTATAAACTTTAAATGTTTTAACACTGACTTTTTGTTTCAGTTTCATCTGTTACTTTCCTACCAAGTGCGACATTTAGCGTCAAGGGGTTGCGACATTTAGCGGCAATCGATTTTTGTGCGACATATAGCGGCAACGTTGCGACATTTAGCGGTAGGCGATTGCGACATATAGCGTTGATTGCGACATATAGCGTCAGCGTTGCGACATTTAGCGTTAGTTGCGACATATAGCGGCGTTGCGACATATAGCGTTGCTACATGCAGCTTTATTTAAACTATTTATTCCAATCAAATGATATAAATATTTTTTATGTATAGGTTAGAGTGCATATTGGGTGTTCTTCGTAAATAAGAAAGCTAAAAAGGAGCGGAGCTTGCGAAGCGACTGTAGCTTTCTTATTTACGAAGAAAATCCAATATGCACTCTAACCGGCTTAGTGCTCTTCGAAACTTAGCTCCGCCCACTTGCGTTTTATAATATAAAACGTCCAGTTTATATAAAATCTGTTCTATTAAGATTAGAAACCTGAAAATTTGAAAAATCCTCGTCGTTGATTGGCTTAACAAAATTGGCGAGCACTAAGTAAATCTTGGACTTAAAATTGTTTGATTAACATATTTTATGCCCATTTTGGAAATTGTAGAGGAAATGTTTCCATATGCTTACATAACATTAACCGAAACTTTGCTAATTAAATTTTGCAAGAAACTTTTATTTTAATACTACTTTTAATAAATACATATCGTTTATTTTAAATTTAATTCCCTTTGTAGAAAAACTATCCATAATGCGCCAAGAAAAAAGTCCATTTCTCCGGCATATAATCTTTCAAAACATGTTTAAAACAAACTTTCATTATGATACTATATTCAATATATATATTAAATTCTTTTTGTTAAATATTTGTAATTTATAACCATTCATTGTGTCTTTTATGCAAAAATTTCATTTTTTCGCATTAAACAAATCTTCCACAGCAGTCAAAAGACCTCTCGCATGTTTCTTTTTAAAGAAGCGAACTTGTTTTTTCACCATTTCACGCTCTGTTTATGTCACTACCTTAGTCAGTAACATAAGATGATAAAATATCAAAGTCTGCTTTTTTATTATTATAATTGTAACAAATATAAAAATAGTATCAAAAGGGACTAATATTATAATATAGTAATATTACATGCATTTTTTCATGTCAAATTAAAAAAAATGGTTTCTTGTAATACTGAAAGTAAAACACACTCTGGAATGAAAAAAATGGGATGAATTTCAAAAAGACCAAATTCAGGACTTTTTTGTTTGTTATACACGCGTTACATGGTGATACAGTATTCATCAATATAATAGAAGACTGTTACCTGAATTTCAGGTTTGAGGAAATTCACTAACACCATGCTCGTGCGAGTCAAAGATATAAAAGCTGTTGGACATTGGTGATATATATAAAAACAAGTGTTAATTGATTTATTGGGAGATCAATATACATTTTTGTTGGATTGCTTTAAAACCATTCATAAAAAACATTACACTTCATGTTCAAACTGCAGATCAAAGTTTCTGTTATCAATGATGCTATCTATCTATAGCCTATGCTTATTGAGGGTCCATCCGCTCGTAAGGCCACGAAACGCAGCTTTCGCTGTCGAGTACGGACCCCGGAAATGTCACCAAAGAGTTAATTTTGAAGCACAAAGTGGTATGCAATACCAATAACGCCAATGAAATGTAACCTAATATACAAAAGACACAAAAGATTTCGCCCAGCCGACACGAAAACTAAACAATGAAATTTTCGTCCCTTCGCGTGTTAAAGTTTCGTTATTTCGCATAGAATGTTTCGTATTTCGTGTCTTCTCCCCAAAAGGCGAAAGCCAAAATAACGACAAATAGGTATGTTTCGTGTCTTCGCATTTCGACTTTCGGGGCGAAGACACCAAAACACGAAATGGCAGAAATCAGCCACCATAGTTAAACAATAATTAATGTGGAAACCATTTTGTGGGGTGAAGTGTTTTTAGGGATAAAGTGCACCGTCATAAATAGTTAACTACAGTTCGGATGAGAAAGGAATAATTACCTACAGCGAATAAAATTTAATAATTATGGGTATTGAAATTTTATTTTTGAAAACACTTTGCCGTGTATAGTGTAAATGTCCGGTAACATACAACCTCTTTGAAAACAAATTGTAACATCTTTGTCACTTTATGTACATGTATTTATATCACTTTATGTACATGTATTTATTTAGGTCTTACTATATGCTTCATAAAATCTGTATTTGTATTTGGACTTTAACGACCACTCAATATGGGTATAGTATTTACTTACATTTTATTTTGTACCTAGAACTACAGTTCGCGATTACAATATTGTTTTTGGGACATTTAATTACCTCCCTTCCATTCGTTTTTTTTTTCAACTGCTTTTATATTACCACAACCTCAAAAAAAAACTACTACTCCTGCTGCTACTACTACTACTGTTACTACTGCTGCTGCTGCTCCTACTACTACCACTACTACAACTACTAATTCTACTACTACTGCTACTACTTCTACTACTACTACTACTACTACTACTACTACTACTACTACTTCTACTACTACTACTACTACTACTACTACTACTACTACTACTACTACCACTACCACTACCACTACCACTTCCACTACCACCACCACCACGACCACCACCACTACCACCACCACTACTACTTCTACCACCACTACCACTACCTATACCACTACCACTACCACTACTACCACTTCTACTACCACTACCACTACCACTTCTACTACCACTACTACTACCTCTACTACTACTACTACTACTACCACTACCACTACCACTACCACTACCACTACCACTACCACTACCACTACCACTACCACTACTACTACTACTACTACTACTACTACTACTACTACTACTACTACTACTACTACTACTACTACTACTACTACTACTACTACTACTACTACTACTACTTCTACTACTACTACTACTACTACTACTACTACTACTACTACTACTACTACTACTACTACTAACTACTAACTACTACTACTACTACTACTACTACTACTACTACTACTACTACTACTACTACTACTACTACTACTACTACTACTACTACTACTACTACTACCACTACCACTACCGCTACCACTACCACCACCACCACCACCACCACACCACCACACACCACCACCACTACCACCACTAGACTACCACTACCCACCACCACTACCACTACACCACCACCACTACACCACCACCACACCACCACCACACCACTACTACCACCACCACTAACCACCACCACCACCACTGCTACTACTACTACTAATACTTCTACTTCTACTACTACTACTACTTCTACCACTACTACTTCTACTACTTATACCACTACTACTTCTTCTACCACTACTACTACTTCTGCTTTGATGATAATCATGATGATGACGATGATAATGTCTTTGATAACAATAATAAATATAAGTTGTAAAAACACAATTCTTGTTTTGTTTTATGGCTTTTTATTTTAACTAAGACATATTCTATTGCATAATATAACATAATATATACCTGTATATATTAAAAAAACAATATTCATACTATAAAACATTACTGCTAGGTAACAGAGGATAAATAACTAGAAAAATATATTTTACACGTCAAGCAAATTGAGCAATGATCAAGGCAATTAAAAGGAGGTGCAGCGTAAACACAACTACACCCAGCTAAATATCCATGGAGCAAAACTTAAAAAACCGAGTCTGCAATTTTAATGTAATTTTGCTGTTTTTAATGCTTCCGAGGGATCACCTTTTTCCAGCTATTTATATCATCAAATCTCTCAGCGTTAATATACATTTAAACACCGATCACACTTAAATGTTCAATCATACACTACTGTACTACACTGTGTACAAAACTATATTGAAAATATACATTTCAATGAAAACCTAAACACAAACAACAACAACACCAACAATTTAATAACAACAACAATAAGGCAACAACACTGCTGTAAGTAACACTCTTTTGCGCACACAATATAAAAGTCTACTCATTTGCTGTGGTATATATATAGATAGGTATATTTTAGTAATGATACATGTATATATTAGCAATCCAAATTTTTATGTCAAGGAAATAGATGTAAATATCCATCGTTATCAGTTCCCAACGTGTTTTGCGAAGAATTTCCAACGAGTCTACTTTGCTGTATTCTTTCAGAACTCGAAGTACTTCCATCGGGAATAAAAAGACATTGCTAAACATGTTTGGGCTACCTGGTAAGTCATCCTCATGAGGTCGATTTCTTATCGGTGTTATATACGTATCATTAAATCTAAGTTGACCATCATCTTAAAATATGAAATAATATATTATTGTTTTGAAAAGTAAAACATCAAATTACATGCAATTCTTTTGTCAAGTTTTTGCAATACAGATATACTACGTTCAAAAATTTGAAAAAAAATGACATTTTTTGTTAATATAAAATAAAAGATTATGTTTTAAAACTCGATACACTATAGATAGACAGAATATAAAAATATAGTGTCATTTAAAAGTGTTTTCTTGTTTTAAAAAAAAAGGACCATCTTTACTTAACCCTTGACGACTCTACTTTGCTGTATTCTTTCAGAACTCGAAGTACTTCCATCAGGAATAACAAGACATTGGTGAACCTGTTGGGCTACCTGGTAGGTCATCATAGGCTTCCTCATGAGGTTTGATTTCTTTTTCTTCCTCTCATATACATCCCGGTGTTATATACGTATCATTAAATCTAAATTGGGCCATCATCTTAAAATATGAAATATATATTTTTTATTAAAAGGAAACATCAAATTACAATGTAATTCTTTTGTCAGTTTTTCAATACAGATATATACTACGTTCAAAATTTGAAATAACATTTTTTGTTACTTTAAAATAAAAAAATGTTATGTTTTGAACTCGACACACTAGAGATAGACACAATATGAAAATATAGTGTCATTTAAAAGTGTGTGTTTTTTTTTAGAAAGGACCATCTTTACTCAACCCGTGATAGGGAATGCAGATTCTCAAACGTAGTTTTTAAAATTCTTTTACACAAATCAGACATATACAGTAAGATTTTCTCAATAGATTCCTACGACTCAATCTTTTTATCTAAAAACTAATTTCTATACATATTATTTTCTATACAAAGGCTAAAACTACATTCTTTAGATGACGTTTATCTTTTATTTCAATAATGAAAAACTTACTATAATTCATAGATTTTTACATTTTAATGCACACATTTGTTACTTTTCGGCCCTTCTTTCAATCTTCGGATAATTACTTATTGATTATGAATTGTCGTTGAGCAGTTCCGAATATTATGCACATTTAAACATTAAGGATAATTAACACTACCTTTTGGCTTAAAATAATTTTTAAGTCACAGCACTATGATATGTTCAATTTCAATGTAATATGATATATTTTCAAATCTCACCTATTTTAAGACAAAAACCCCCACTCTGCAGCAGACGAAACCAAAA